TCGGACCAATCTGAGTTTTGCCGTCATTTTTTTGTTTTTTGCTAAAAAGGTCAAATTATCAAACTGATTCATGATGATTTTTGAAAGAAAAAAAAAATTGCTGTAATGATTGAAATTTCTGTCGGCAGCTAGATTAGTTGTGAATGGAATGAGTGTTACTAAAAATCATCTATCTATTTATATAGCAAATTTTCAATAGAGGCAATCAATAGAAATAAATTAGATTGATTGAAAAAATGGTAATGGGAATATAAATATATCTTGACTGACCGAAATGTATACGGTTTTTATAAATCAGTTTAGTAATAGCATTTACTTTTTAATTATTTGAGTTAATTGTCAGATTAGTATACCAAAAATAATCCAATTTTTTCAATTCCATTTTCCCGGCTCCTACTTTGGTGTTATTTAAAATTAATTGGCAAGTAAAAGTGTGCTATAATTAAGGATATCTATATATATATAATTAAGTCTACAGTATGATTATCTTTGACTGCAACAAATTTGAATTGTTTCAATTTCATTTCCCACCTAACTGTGTTTGGAACTTTATTTATCTGTTGGGAATTTAAATTTGATAATTCTAATTAATTTATTTTGGGAATACTAAATGTTGATATTTTTTTTTTTTGATTGCAGGATTTGCGAACCCAAAGGAGCTTCAGCTTTTTTTATTATTTATAATTTGTCTTTATGGTTTGTTGTATTTTGGCCTATTTTATTTTTTTAGTTGTTGTTCTTCAATTTATTTAAATTTAATATGGAAACCAAAATATATGATTTAATTAAATTTGGGATGAGATTTAAAATTTGATTATTGATTTTGGGGCCCGCCTAATAAAATGTTCAAAAAAAAATGGGAACATTTTCAATAACTCATAATAATGGCAGATTAAATTTGTTTCCTATTTTATACATTTATTCATCCACAAATTGAGCTTCCCATTAGAAAAAATAAAATGGAAAACGAAAAATAAAGAAAATGTAACTGAAATGGGCGGGAAAAAGGAAAAGTTGCCAGCTAGGTAAAATTAAATAGGTTTTCTTTAATGTTTGGAGCTGGTAATTATATATATATAGATAAAGAGAGACACAAGATAGGCCCAAACAAACCATTCCATAAATTACCAATTATTAATAGGGAAATTTTTGCACATACTACATGAAATAAAAGAATTTTCAATTTTACCTTCCTAGAACAATTAATAGGATATATACCTAATCAAGCTATTTTATTTACGTGATTACCTAAATATCAGTTACCTTTTGTAACGTCCTCTATCCATATCAGTTATCCTTTGGTGGCGTGATTTACTCATTTAATTCCTTAATTCCCGCAACTAGAATTCTTTAATTCACATAGCTCTCAGGTGATATATATTGAATTTATGTTAGTAATGCTTCACGATTTCTTTAATTCTATCATAATATCAAGATATTCTATCTTGATATCAACAAGTATATATTCGGTATATGTTGCAATGAAAAAAATGTATTCAATCAAAAATTGTATCTTCCTCTTTTTTTCTTTTATATTAGTATATATTCAGTATATGGTTTAAAAACATATTATAACAGATTTTTTAATATAAAATCATACATATACACAACACCAACAAAAAAATTCAGTTTATGCTAAATATAAATTGATCTTATAAATAAAAATTATGTTTCGCGATAAATTTCTTTATCTTATACCGAAAATATACTGAATATAAACTATACATATAAAAAAAAAATCAATTTATGCTTTGTCAATATAAACCATACACCCTTATATTATACATAATATATACTCCATATATACACAACATATACCCGCAACCTATACAAAATGAGGGGTCTGATGCATTTTTTAAAACACAGTGGGGAAACGCACACATTTTGTTAAAAACAATGGAGTTTGGTGCAATTTACCCTTTTCTTAATTAACCCAATGATCTCAAAACAGACAAGCAGGAAAGTTTCTACACAAAATAACTATAACAAGCACTTACGCTATTTATAGTTAAGCACTTACGCTATTTTTGATTGAATACATTTTTTTTCGAGCTGACGCAACAAACCCACCTTTCTTCTTAACGCCTCGACCTCGGAAGCATTACGTCGAGCGCAACGATTACGCTCAATCTGCATTCTCAGGTCAGCCGGATTCTCGGTTTGTTGAAATAATGAACGAGCCGCATGAGGAATTCTGGGCACATGCCGAGGATAACTTTCAGCACGCCGAGGGTTACTTTCAGCAACCATTTCTGGTTGGTTCATTTCTGCCGGCAGTTCGTTGTTCGCCGGTGGGGGGGGGTGGATTATTGTCACGTGGTTGTGACGTGGCATGGGATGCCGCTTGATTGTTGTTATCTCTTTGTATGGGAGGACCTTGCTGTCTCGCCGGAGTTATAGGAGCAAAAGGTTGCCCCGGTATCCTGTGTGATGGCCCCGGCATGGTTTGGGCCAGCAAAGCAGTGAGTCCACGAGCAAATTCCGGGTTCTGCATGAGCAAGGTAATGTCCGGCATCACAGGTACTGGATTATGTTGACCGGTTGGCGGTTCAACAACACGGACGGCGCTTCCCATGGTTGTCGGATTATCCTGTCCGGACTGCGACATTGTTGATTCTTGAGATGTGGTGTGCTTATTCCGAAAATTAACTCCAAATATCTTATGGAGCCCTCCTTCTAGCGCCAAAATGTTGATAAATGGATTTAATCAACGTTAACAATGTAAAATTAACACAAAAGATTGCAGAAAATGAGATTTTTATTGAATATTCTGAAGTCGGTTTCAGTACAGAGAGGTCGGTTTTTTAATGGATTTCAAGTCGGTATACAGTGAGATAGCCGAGTTGAATATATGAGTGTTTATGATCTTTTTTCGAACCCTTCTCTCGTCTTTGGAGCTGCTATTTATAGTTAAGTCTGGCACACATCCCTAGACAAATCATTCCCGTTTTAATGAAGATTTGACGTTTTAGGGGCGGCGATGACGTAGAAGAACTTTTTAGGCAATGATTAGCATGGGCACGCCTCTATCTGTGTGACGAGTGTCACATCTGTCGGATTGAAGTCGGTTCATCTTGCGATGTCGGTATTTTGATAGATCTTCAATATCCTACGACTTCTTAGTAAATAATTCTTTGACCGAGTTGGCCTTTTTCAAGGTTTAGACGACTTGTGTTGATGACTTCCGAAAATTCTGCGACATCATTTATAGGTACCGAGATGAGATTGCCGGGATACAATATATCCTGCTTGACGTCGTCCAGAATCCAGTTTATGAATTAAACTTCACGATTTCTTTAATTCTATCATAATATCAAGATATTCTATCTTGATATCAACAAGTATATATTCGGTATATGTTGCAATGAAAAAAATGTATTCAATCAAAAATTGTATCTTCCTCTTTTTTTCTTTTATATTAGTATATATTCAGTATATGGTTTAAAAACATATTATAACAGATTTTTTAATATAAAATCATACATATACACAACACCAACAAAAAGTTCAGTTTATGCTAAATATAAATTGTTCTTATAAATAAAAATTATGTCTCGCGAATATAAACCATACATATACAAAAAAAAAAAAAAAAAAANGGAAAGTTTCTACACAGACAAACAACCACAAACTCCAATGTTTTGCATTAGAATGTAACAAGTATTTTGACAGAAAGGTATAATCTAAATATAATATCTGGAAAAAAAAAAAAGTAACAGAAAAGCACTCCAAAGCTTCTAAGCTTGGCCTCTAATTCTTCAATCCTAACAAGAAAAGTTCGTTGTTCTTAATTCATCACAACCCTTGAAGAAACAGAGTGCCCAACAAGGATTAGATTATGTAATTAAAACTCACAAACAAATACGAACAACGATAACAACAACAAAGTTTGCTCCTTCCTTGCCATCTCTCTGTCGATTTTCTCACCGAACAAGGCCAAGGTCGCTCCTTCCTTGCGGATCATCCGATTCTCCACTCCCCCTTTCTCGACCTCTTTTTTCACTTGCTCGTTAATCTTCTTGATCGTCCGATTCTCCTTGATGTTCTAGGGCCGGGTCTTGCGCAGGCGTGTCTTCATGTGATGCTGCGTGGACTTCTGGCCTGGACGAGCACTCTATCGGCAGCCCATAACCGCCGTCGCTCACCGCCAGTCTCCGCCCACCGTTTGTTGTTTTTTTTTTCCGAGTAGAGATGTAGGGAGTTTTGCTGTCGTCGTTGAGAAAAATTGGGGAAAAGAATGAAATTTTTTGCATAAGATTGGAGATCGTAGGCGGTTTTACAGAGAGAGAGATAATATCTCCTTGATATTTGGTAATAATATATCTTACCAATTAATGATCCAATCACATTTAATTTGTCCAAAAATATCATAAAACTGTTGAATTGGATATTAGGTATATTTGTAATATTTTGTAGTTGATTTAGTTATTTTATAAATAAAATTAAATTGGGTGTATAAGTGTAATATAAATCATATATGATGGTAAGGAGTGTAAATTCCTCTTATTAATATATAAGCCCATTTCTATCTCCTCATCTGCTCGTCATCATCTCCTCATTTGCCATCTCCCTTCTCTAAAATCGCCGTCGCCATCCCTCTCCCGCACACACTCCACTCTGCACTCATCGACGCTAAGCTTTTGAAATAAGATTGCCACCCAAATCGTAAATTATAAAATATGTAATAATACAAATCTTAAGGTTGTAGTAATAAGTTTCTGTATTTGTAGGACTGATATACAAATTAAATAAGTATATATATGGAAATATAATTTCATAATTAATTAAATTAATTTTTAATTTAAAATTATAGTAAGGCCAGTATTATACAGGTATATATGTAGGAGAGAATGCGCCTAATGTCAAGTCCCTCAAACCAATCCTAATCCTAACTGATTGAACAATCCTTTTCCTAACAATTAGGGTGAAATCTTAACATAGGCCCTTTTGCCTATAAATCTGTTTTTTTATTGAATCGATTTGTGTTTGCACTAGCAATTATGAGTTACTCTGCTCGGATGACCGTCGTCCTTCTTCTCGTCTCCCTCATATTTTCTGCTGCCGCCGCCAAGCTATTGGCTGAGGATTACCTGAAGTGCATGTGGATGTTTGATTCCGACTCCGACGAAGAGGGTTTCGTTGACGAGCGGTGCTATAGGGGTTTTTGGTTATTGCCATATATAGACGTACTGCCGCCTGAGTATGTAAAAGCTCTCTCCATATGGTATAACAACAACCACACGCGCCTCCATCTCGAAATCTGCCGCCTCAATATCGACCGTTGTCCGGAGCAGACACTGAAACTCGTCAACGCCTACTTACATGACGTGAGTTGCAGTAACAACAAAAATAAGTTTAATTAATTAACTTTTTTTGTGTTTAATTAATTATATGCTTTTGGTGTACTGATGACGACTATCAAATAGGACCGGCTGTGGAGGATGCCGCCGTGGACGCCACAAACAAAGTGCAGGATTAGATCATGAGGCGAGTATGTATTTTTCCAGATTAAAATTTATGTGAAGATATGTTGGAATTCAGAAGGCTCGTGCATGGAAATAAGGCAATGGACAGTTATAACTAATATGTTGCATAGAATAATTTCTTTTCCTTTTCTTTCTTTTCCGTTATTCAAACGCGTGTTGCGTTTTTTAGTAACGACGCCGTTTCCTTTATGGAGAACGACGCCGTTTTCTTTTCCTTTTCTTTTGTTGCGTTTTATTTTTCAGTTTATTAGTAACGACGCCGTTTCCTTTATGGAGAACGACGCCGTTTTGTGTTTCTTTGTCGCGATGCATGAAGTGTATAAATACACTCGAGTTGTACGTACTCTGTGAACTTTTTCATTTTTTGAGCTAAGAAAATGGTTGCCCCACAATATCTTTTTCTCCATTAGAAATTCAACAAGATACCAAATATTACGGGATGGTTCCGTTGGTATTTTTCACCATTCGATAGACATGTAGATTATGTTGTGTAGATAATCTATGGTAACAAACAGCGATGGAACTATCCCGTCAACAGGACTGAAGGCATTCCCATAAATATTAATTAGGTTTAGATTTGGTTGTTCCTCCGATGGGGGAAGGTTGTGAAAATAACTTCTTGTGATATGGTAACAATGTTAATATTCATCTAGTATTCAATCATGTGTACATTATATTTAAAATTATAAGTTATATAATGAGTATATCACATTTGATAATTATGATCATTGTTAGAAATTAGGATTATAATTATAAAATAAATGGACACCATCCAAAAATGGGACCTGTCAAAATAAGTCGTGTAACTGATCTTTTAGTTATTATATTAGTATTATAATTGTATTTCATGACATAAAAAGACGTTACAAAAATGAGCACCATCCAAAATGGGACCTGTCAAAATAAATTGTGTAACTAAAAGTTACATATTATTATTAAACTAATATTATTATTAATTGCTGGTTGGATAAAATTTATTGAAATTTGTCATCAGTTATATATATATATTGGTTGTTTGTTGGATTTCTGGTTTCTAGTACTCTAATAAATTTCCTTTTTTCTTATCCATTTTTTGCATGGAAATAATTGGGTTTGATTGATTATATTAGTAACACATAAGTTTATCTCTGATTGCCTTATGATTCAACTAAAATTTCTCCAACACTTATATATACATCTCGCACAAATACTTTGGAAGAGTCCTGATATTTCTTAGAGATTTCTCAAGTGTGGTTCTTATACAATGATTAACCGCCCGCTACAACTTTCTTTGACGACATCTCTCATTTGCTTTATTAATGTCTCTCACACTCAAGAAATTTCTTGGTGCAACAGTATTGCAACTCAAATTTACTTTAGGTCCATAAAGTTTATTTTTTATTTTTTAAAACTCGGAGTTCTAGATAAGAGTTTCTTGTTTCTATAGATTTACTAAAGAACCACTTTTTTTTTTTACTTTTATTGTTTTTTGAAGTTGGGCCAACTTGTACCTACAAATCAATGTTAAAAAGGCGTGGTGGTATGGTAAGTTGAATGTGAGAAAGATGTGAGTTGTGGTAGATAGAGGGTTAAAAAGGTGCGTTGAGTTGTTTTGTCCATTACATATATATACGTAACCAGTAATAATAAAGTTGCAAATCAGTATTGACCCTCCTGCATAAGCAATTATTACAATCATAGTAATTCTATATATACAGTTAATTGATTAATTATGTCACCCATTTTGATGATGATCATCCTTATCTTTATTGGCCTCTCTTCTTCTTCTGATGCTCCGGCTCGTTGTGGTCGTGTCCTTGGCCTCTCTTCTTCTTCTTTTAATGCTCCAGCTGGTCGTGGCCGAGTCCTTAGAACCAAACTCGTGCATTATTTATCCCACGAGTCGCCATTCTATGACCCAACCCTATCCCCAGAAGAAGCCTCCCGCCTCGACCGGGACTTCTCCGCCTCCCGAGCCTCCTATCTCCTCGCTGCTTCCGCCACCACAACAACATCCATCGTCGAGACGCCGCTCGAGCCCAAAAAAGACAACTCCGCTTTTCTCGCTCGCGTGCATGTCGGCACCAACAACGACGACCAACGCGACATGTTTGTCATAGTCGACACGGGCTCGAGCCTGCTGTGGGTCCACTGCAACCCAGACAACGGCTACGCTCCAGCACCGGTGTTCGACCCCAAGCGCTCCTCCACCTTCCGCAAGGAGATGTGCAACGACTCGGCCAGCGCCTGCTCTCCTAGTTACAGATGGCTCACGTGCGGGGACAAGTACTGCAGGTTCAAAATCGCCTACGTCAAGGGAGACTGCAGTGGTTACCTTGGCCGGGAGACATTCGAGTTCGAACCCCTCGATGAGGTGGAGGCCGACAGGTTCATTCTCCACAACATCACCTTCGGCTGCGCCACTATCTCGAATCTGAGAGTCGACGGCGTGTTAGGACTCAACGCTAATCGCGTCTCCCTCATCTCGCAGACGGGGTCCACGCGCTTCGCCTACTGCATCGGCAACATCAGCGACCCCACGTACCCTTACAACATACTGATTCTAGACGATAATAATGAGATCGGGCTCCACGGCTCCCCAACGCCCCTCGTCGTCAACAACCATTACTACATCAACCTCGAGGGCGTCACGGTCGGAGGTCAATCCGTCATGGGATTCAACTTCCGCATCTCGATGCTAATGGACTTGGGCTCAACCTACACCTTACTTTCCATGTCGCTCCTCAAGAAGCTCGAGGCTGCAGTTGCGGACGTGATTGGAGGCAACCTGACTAGGACCTACTCGATTAAGTTCGACAAGGCCTACACTTTATTGTGCTATGTAGGGTTTGTGGGCAGAGACCTGGCGGGGTTCCCTGTGGTGGAATTCAACTTCTACGGAGGGGCCGTGCTCGAGCTCTCCGCTGAAAATATGTTCAAGGACAATGGGGATGGCAATTTCTGCCTCACGGCAGCCCCATCTGAGCAGTACAACTTTGACTTCGCCCTCCTGGGGAACTACATGCAGCAATATTTTTATATTGCCTTTGATCTCAAGGAAAATGAACTCTCATTCCTCAAGATGGACTGTGATATTTTACATCAAGATTAAATGTTTTTTTTTTAATAATGAAGATTAAATGTTGTGTTTGGTTTATTTTACAACTTCCAATTAATTTTACAACAAACAAGTGCTATAACATTTTTATATTGTCAAAAACATTATTTGATCAAATGGTATAACGTATAACTAAAAACAACTAAACTAAAGTGCCAAAATAATTAAAAATGTCATGATCTGTTGTGCTAACACTTGTACAATACACTTTTGGTAAATAAATGTAGATGACTCCGTAAGTCGAACCATCCGATGGCTCCATAGTAAAACTGAACACTTGTATTTGTCTATTTGAAATCATAAAATTAATTACATTCACTGATTAATAAGTTAAGTTATTAATTTTTATATTTGTAATTTTAAATCGTAAATTATAAAATATGTAATAATACAAATCTTAAGGTTGTAGTAATAAGTTTTTGTATTTGTAGGATTGATATACAAATTAAATAATTATATATATAGAATTGAAACCAATGTTATCAAAACCGGATCGGACCGGCCGGTTCGACCGGGAACCGGACCTAGTACCGGTTCGGTTTGAGTGTTTAAACTGCTGGGAACAAGAATCGGTTTCGAACCGTTCGAACCGGTTCAAAAACCGGTAAAACCGGTGAACTGGTACTGGTTCAACTGGTCGAACCGGTTCTGAAATTCGAAAAAAAAAATCTTAATGAAATAAAACAAAAAAAATCAAACAAAAGGAAAAGAGTGAGATAGTACTTTGATGTTTGATGAATTGTAATGTTAGATTGAATATATTTTGATGTTTGATGATTTTGTAGTTTGTATTTGTAATTTGGATTGCCTTGCTTTAGATATTGAATTATTAATTTATTGTTTTAGTGAAACTTAATTTAGTATTGCTTATGGTAAACTATACTTAAAATATTGATTTATCAACTCTTATTTAGAAAAATATCATTATATGCTATAAAATTAATGATAAATATATATATATATAATTATATATTATACATGTAGAATAAATAAATAAATTGTATATTAGTTAAACCGGTTCGACCACTGGTCCGACCAGTGAACCATTGAATCAGTAGCTTCACCGATTCGATGACCGGTCCGGTTTTGATAACATTGGTTGAAACTAAATACAAATATTATTTCATAATTCATTAAATTAATTAAAAAAATTAAATTATAGTAAGGGTATTATACACGAGAGAATGCACCTAACGTCAAGGTCCCTAAAAAGTAAAAACAAGAGCATCCACAATGCTTTGGGTTCAATCCTAAAAAATTGTATGCTACATAAAAATAGACTCAGTCTAAAAAATATATACTCTAATGCAAACAAAAGTAGACTGAGTCCTGCTGATGTGCAGTTAGAAAAAGAAACTTGGTCTAACCTTAAGTCTATTTTTGACCCAAGTAGAGACCTAGTCTCGTTGCATTTGAGTGGATTTTAGAGCATCCACAATGCTTTGGGTCTTTTTTTGCTTATGTGGCAAATAAATAGACTTAAGTCTCAAATGACATGGACAAACCCAAGGTAAAAAATTCAAAATCTATCAAATGAAAAAAAAAAGTACTAGGTCTAAAATATTTAACAACCAATAAAAATATAATAATAGTAAATGATTGTTATTGTCACATAAGCTAGACTAGGTCCACTTTTAGTTGCATTGTGAAACACTTTTTTATAGACTATGTCTATTTCCTAAATGGCATGTGATTTTTTTTAAAGAGAGCCTGGGTGCTCTTATAAATTTACATAGTTTTGCCACATAGTCAAAACTAGACCCAATGCATTGTAGATACTCTATAGCATCTACAATGCATTGGGTCTAGTCTTGCCTATATAGTATGTAAATAAACCCAAGTCTTGAATGACATGGATAAAATTATGTAAAATGAACAAAATCTACTCCAATGCAAAGAGACTAGGTCTCTATTTAGGTCTAAAACAGACTTAAGGCGAGACCGGGTCTCTTTTTTTTTGTGCAACATCAGCAAAGCTCAGTCTACTTTTATTTGCATTGGAGAATACATTTTTTTAGACTGAGTCTATTTATTAGGTGGCATACAATTTTTTGGGATTGAACCCAAAACATTGTGGTGATCTGAGAAGAATCCTTTTCCTAACAATTAGGGTGAAATCTTAACATAAGCCCTTTTTTCTCTACTAACATAAAAGTGTGAATATTTCTGTAAAAAACCTGTAGACTAAAATACCCTCTGTAAGAAAAAAATTTGTAATTGTTTGTAATGGCAAAATAATACTTTTGAAGTTGTCTTTTTAAATTCCTAACGTTTCCTCTTTGGTTATCCATCTATCCACCTATTATATTATACATTCACAAATTCATCTCAATTAGTCTCATTAATCCTTGCTCTGTTATTTTTTCCTTTTTTTCCATTTCACGTGAGATCTGAATTTTCTTTCAAATCGCGATTGAATTAAGGAAGAAGGAATAGAGAGCGAATCAGGTGGTCCATTATGAAATAGCCAAATGCAAATCACGACACAAACAAGAAATGAGAAAATGCAAAATTAAAGGGAAACAGGCGCTTTCACTCTCAGATCATCTCCATTTTTCCAAACGACAGAGGAACGGGTGAGTTTTTTCTTCTACTTTTGGCTATAATTATTATTATTTTTTTTTCGTTCATCTTACATTAATTTTGCCTTCTTCAAAATTCCAGCCAAACTCATCAATCATTGATTTATTAACAGTTCTTTACATGTATTTTTTTTTTTTAATAAAATATTATGAGTTTTCATGTTGTTTACATAAAAATTTTTCAACAAATATTATGATTTTCCCTGTGTACAATATAATTGCTTTCCATTGTTTCTATACCCATGTCTAACATAACCTTTACTTTCCATTGTTTCAATATGAAATTGTAAAATTACCATGTTAGTTAGTCATATAATTTTATGGCCAAATATTCATCTTTGGAGTAAAACATTTATCTTTCCACATTGGCGGACAGGGAAACAGGCACTTTCACTCTCAAATCATTTAATTTAAGTTTTTCAAACAAATATTATTATTTTCCTGTTTATAATATAATTGCTTTCCATTGTTTCCATTGTTTGAATATTTTTTCAAACAAATATTACTATTTTCCTGTTTATAATATAATTGCTTTCCATTGTTTCTATATGCAAGTCTAAGATGACCTTTACTTTCCATTGTTTTAATATGCAATTGTAAAATGACCCTGTTAGTTAATCATATAATTTTATGGCGAAATACTCATCTTTGTAGTAAAACATTAATCTTTGCACATTCATAACTATTTGGTGTATGCCTATGAATATTTCTTCCATTTTTTTTATTTACAGACTATTTAAAAACTCATGAACTATGAAAACGCAACAAACACCATCAACATCAAGCATATCATCATCAGGTAATTTTTTTTTTCCTTTTTACATTATTACTTTTGATTTAATTTTATTAATTTTACCAACTATGTTATCAACTAATTAGTTCAATATATTTTAATATACAGTGAAAGATGTATACAGAAAAAGGAACCGTGAGAAGATGAAAAGAAAATATGCTAATCTTAATGTCACACAAAGACAAGAATACATTGATACAGTGAAGAAACGTAAGAAGAAACAAACTTCCCAAATTACCTGTCTTCTGATGAAAGATCAAAGTCAATGTCAATCACAAGGTATTAATAATATATCTATTAAAAATTAATTAATATTACTTCATTCATTTAAATTAATACAATATATATGTAATTTATTTATTTTTCCTTTAGGTTCAAACAAATTGCCAGCAATATGTTCAGAGATTCATAGAGTAAAGAATATGCCTAACTGTGTGCATTGTGATGCTGTTAGATTTGAGTATGAACCTCCAACGTTTTGTTGTGATAACGGAAAAGTTAAATTAGCGCCCATTCAAGTTCCTGACGAGTTATATCAGTTGTTTACTTCTCAAA